AGATTCCGAAGAACACCCTAGGGATTCCTGAGGATTCCCCAGCCTCCTAAGATTCGTGAGAATTCCCTGGGGGTCCCGTAGGGTTTCCTATGGATTCCCCCGGATTCCCGAAGGATTCCTGGGGGGTCCCCGTCGGATGCGTGCGGTTTCCCCCCCTTCCCCCAGGGGGGCCTCTGAAACACGGAGTCGCCAACAACAACAACAACAACAACAACAACAACAACAACAACAACAACAACTATCAGTTTACCCTCATGCGCATTGTTTCCGCACGAAGCATGCGACCATCATGATCACCACCCCCAGCATGGGGGGTGATTGTTCTATCGCGGGGTCCGTTATTCCCATTCCCAAATATCCCACCCAATGAAGTCTTGCAAACACCTCCTCCGAGGAATTTCAAAATATCTCGCCTCGTAGACACATGCCCGCACTTTGCTACAACAACAACAACAACAACAACAACAACAACAACAACAACAGCAATCATTATAAGACATGGTCGTTCTTACTTGCCCGTGCGTCATTCAAAACAAGTTCCCCGCACCCTCGATACCCGCCCTTGTTGTCTTCGATCACACCCCCTTGGGGGGAATTATTTCTCTTTGCAGGGGGGGCGGCGGGCCTAGACAGGCGGGCAAACCTGAACGGGCGGACAATCCTTCGTGGGCGTACATGTGCCCGCCATTGGAATTGGTGTGGGCCCTGCAAAAGGAGGGGGGGAACGAGGGAGAGTGGGAGGAAGGAAGGGGGAGGGACGAAGGAAGAGGGAAAACGCCAGAACAGAAGGAGCGAAGAGGGCGGTTGATTAGAGGCAGAGGGAACGAGAGAGAGAGAGAGAGAAAAAAAAACAAAAAATGATATATAGAGAGAGGTAGAGAGAGAGGGGAGAGAGAGAGAGAGAGAGGAAGAAAGAAAGAAATAAAGAAATAAAGAGGGAGGGAGGAGGCAGGAGAGGGGAGGGAGAAGGGAGGAGAGGAGGGAGGAGGGAGGAGGAGAGGGAGGAGGAGCAGGAAGGTAAGAGCGTGAACGTTCGAGGAAGTCCTAGGCGAAAGCGCCGTTCCTGAAGTAAGTCTCGGGCGGGAGCCCGCGACGGGCGGGCGATCCCCTGACGGGCGGATCGTGCGGGTGGGACATTCAAGCGGGATGCCTGAGTATGGCGAGAGCGCGATTACCAAGTAAATTGTAACGGCGTCCTTGGCGCAGCGTGTTTCCTGAGCGTCAAAAGCGCGATGTCTGAATCAAGCGCATGGAAATCACAAGCGAGAGAGCAATTCCTGAATAAAATGTGAAGGGTTCTCTAGCGGGAGCGGGGGTCTTGACTAAATTGCGAGGAAGTGTTGCCTCAAATGCGAGGAAGTCTGAAGCGGAAGCGCCGTTCCTGAGCAAATTGTGAAGGGTTTCTGACGGGAGCGGGGGTCCTAAATTGCGAGGAGGTCACAGGCGGGAGCACGAATCCTGCGTAAATTGTGAGGAAGTCTCAGGAGTGGGGGGTCCTGAGTAAATTTGGAGGAAGTCTCAGGCGGGGTCGTTGTTGTTGTAATCCGGGGGGCCAGGGGCCCAGTTTGATCAGGAAGACTTCCCCTGTGAAAAAACAAAGTGCGAGCGTCGAGGGGCACACTTTGATTGAGAAAGAACCGTATGCACCGGTGAAGCGGGATCAACAATAACTATTCTTCAGAAATGAGAGTTCAACAACAACAACAACAACGACAATAACAACAACAACAACAAGAACAAGAACAACATCAACATCAACATCAACAACAATAATAGTAATGATAATAATAATTTTAAGACTGTTCGCCCCTATATGCTCGACTGTCCAATAACGCGTATTCTCCAAACCCTCGATACCCGCCCTCTTCGTCTTCGATCGAACCCCTTCTGGGGGGTATATTTTTCTTCCCTACAGGCCGGGCCCCGGCAAGCGGCGGGGCGGCCGCGGACCGTCGGCCCGACCCCAAGAAGGACGGACAGGGGACCGACCACGACGACGACGACGACGACGACGACGACGACGACGTCGAAGACGACTGCGAAAACGACGACGACGGCGACGACGAGCGAAAGCGAGAGCGAGAGAGAACGACAGCAGGGCCACGAAGGGCACGAAGTAGGCCACGAAGGGCGACAGCGGGGACACGAAGGGAATGCGTATGGGGCCACGAAGAGCGCGAACGAGCGGGGGCCACGAAGTGCAGATAACGTGGGGCCACAGAAGGCAACTATGGGGCCACTAAGGATAGCAACTGGGCCACGTAGCACAGAGAGGGGGACACAAATGGTGACAGCGGGGCCACGAAGGGCATGCACATGGGGCCACAACGGGCGCGACTCCTGGGTGCCTGGGTGTCGGGAGCGCGGCGCTTGGGCAAATTGCAGGAAATTCCAACGCAAGGCCATTCTTCAGTAAGTTGCGAGCAAGTCTCCAGCGACAGCGCGACTCCAGAGCGCCAGGAGAGCGATTCCTGAATAAATTGTAAGGACGTCCCAGGCGAGAGCGCGATTCCTGAATAAAATGCGAGGAAGTCTCGGGCAGGAGCGGGGGTCCTGGCTAAATTGTAAGAAGTCTCAGGCGGGAGCCATGGTTGTTGTAACCCGGGGGCCAAAGGCCCAGTTTGAGCATCAAGACCTTCCCTGTCAAAAGACAGGGTGCGAGCGTCGAGGTGCACTCTGATTGAGAAAAACAATATGCACCGGTGGGGGGGATCAACCGTAATTATTTTTCAGAAGTGAGAGTTCAACAACAACAACAACAACAACAACAACAACAACAACAACAACAACAACAACAACAACAACGACAATAACAACAGCATCAGCAGCAGCAGCAACAGCAGCAACAACAACAACAACAATAACAACAACAACAACAACAACAGCAACAACCATGTTCAGACAGTTCGCTCTTGTATGCTCGGGGGCCACTCAACACGTAGACCCCAAACCCTCAATACCCGACTTCTTCGTCTTCGATCGTACTCTCCCGGTGGTGTGTGTATGTATATATATATATATATATGTATGTCTTTCTTACCTGCAACGTGTACGTCGTGCAATTAGGCAGGGGACGAGAGAACGGATGGAAAGAAGGGACCAGGGGGAGGGAGGAGGATGGAGCACGAGAGAGTCGTAGGAGGGGGGCCAGGAGCAAAAAACACGTGGCAAAACCAGGCGGGCAGATCGGGCGGGCAGACCCTAACGGGCGGGTCGGGAAGGCGGGCCCAGGCGGCCAGGTCGAGCAGGCGGGTTGCTGAACTTTCGTCCTACATGAATCGCAGGAAGTCTCGAGCGATAACGCGATTCCAAAATACATCGCAAAGAAATCCACAGCGAGAGCGGGACTCCTGAGTGTCCAAGGCGCGGCGCGGCCTGACTAAATTGCGAAGAAGTCCCACGCGAGAGCGCGATTCATCCGTAAATTGTGAGGCCGTCGTTGTTGTTGTAAAGTTTGGTGGCCCCTCACTTTCCCATTAAAAAAATTGTGTGCAAGCCCTAGGAGAAGCACTTTGATTTAAAAGAGCGAAATGGTTACCAGAGGAGGGATCAACAATAACTCTTCTTTCGGAATGAGAATTCAACTAGGAGGTCCCGAACGAAGTGAACCCCACCTCCCCCCTTAGAATCGTAGCGTGGTGGGGTAGGGTTCACATGTTCCCTCCGATCAACAACAACAGCAGCAGCAACAGCAACAGCAACAGCAATAGCAACAGCAGCAACAACAACACACAGTTCAAGACTGCTCGCTCTCATCTGTTCGCGTGCCATTCAACACGTATCTCCCGCACCCTCGTTACCCGCGCTCCCCGTCTTCGATCGTACCCCTTCTTGCGGGCAGATCTTCCCGACCTTCCTCGTGAAATGGGCGCAGCCCTTGAACAGTAAGGGAAGGGACGAGACAAGAGACAAGGGGGAGGGAGAAGGATGGAGCACGGAGAGAAATTCGCACGAGGATGATCAGGAGCAGCAGCACAAGCTTTCGACGCCCGAAATGGGTACGGAAAGAATGGGCACAGTGCCCAACAACAAATGACGTCCCAAACCAACAGCGGCCGCTGTTGGGCAGGCGGCCCTCCTGTCCTGGCTCGAATGGACACAGGCCGCGGCGGCGTGGACAGCGAATCCTGTTCAAAATGAACAGGAACTGCTGTTGGGCACTGTACACATTCTTTCCGTGCCCATCTCGCTCGTGCAGCACAAGCGGGAGCACCGGCCCGGCGTGCCGGGCGGGCGGATCCCAACCAGGCAGGCCGGGCGGGCGGGCCCAGGACGGCCACGTCGAGCGGGCGGGTCGCCAAAACGTCAACTCATCACGAAGGAAGCTTCGGGCGATGGCGCAATTCCCAAGTAAATCGCTAGGAAGTCCAAAGCGAGGGCGTGATTTGGGAGTGTTGGGGCACGGCGCCGCAATAGATTGTCAGGAAGCACACCGCGAGAGCGCGATTCCGAGATCAATTGTGAGTGCGTCCCGCGCGAGAGCGCGAATTTGAAATAAATTGTGAGGAAGGACCAGGCGGGAGCCGCTGTGTTTGTCAACCAGGGGCCATGGGCGCAGGTTGGACCCACAGACTTTCCCTGCTGAAAAACCTGGGTGTGAGCCCCGGGAGGAGCACTCTAATTGAAAAATTCACCTGGGGCAATCAGCACTTATTAGTTCTTTCCAACATGACAATTTAGCAACAAAGTAAACACCAAAAAGTCTGAGGACTGGGTCCAGCAAGACAAGTTGTGTTTTTCGTGCTCCCAGAATAGCGGTTCTACAACAAGTTGTTTGCTCGACAACACAGTAAACAAAAAGACAACAAAGTAAACAAAACAACTACGATGCAACACACACACACACACACACGCACGCACGCACACACACACACACACACAAAACAAAACAAAAAGATCTGGGTCACCGTCGTGGCCGTCCGCGCCGCCACCGCCGCCGCGGGCCGCCGCCGCTGGCCCCCCGCTGCAGGGCGCCGCCGCGCGCAGGCCGGCGCGTGCGCCTCGTCCCCGCTGGCGCTGCCCTCGTCCTCGGGGGATGGGGGGGGAAGGCCCGGCGGGACGCAGAGGCCCCTCGACCAGGACTCCTCCTCCTCCTCCTCCTCCTCCTCCTCCTCCTCCTCCTCCTCCTCCTCCTCCTCTGTGGAGCTGATCACCGTCAAAGTATAAACGTCCCAGCCGCCATGTGACAGGCGTCCCTGATCGAAGAACAATGTATTGTATGCCGTCCTTCGCCCGCCAGACCACGGCCAAGTGGGGATGAGGATGAATTAGACGATGCTGAGCCTCCACCCGGAGGAGGGCGGCTAAAAGATACACCCAGTTGCAGGACGTGGAGCTGACCACCGTCGAGGTGGTCACAGTTAGGGAGCCGAATCTGGCGTTGTAGACCCTGTCGGCCGCGAATCAGAGGGGCGATATTCGATGATCCTCAGTACGCGTGTCAACGCCAGCGTTTGCTTGTCCACCGCCGCCCTTTATGGCGACGTAGGCGGTGTAACCTCGACGTCCACCTTCCGAACCTTCCGCGCAGCAGGTGCCGCCGCGGCGCGGCCGCGGCGACCGCCGAGACCGCCGCTGCGACCTCGACGGCGGCCGCCCGCCACTGTGGCCGCCCTGGCGGCGGCCGCGGCGCTGCGAAAGATGGATGTCGAGGGGCTCAGGAGCGAAGAACGGACAATCACCACCGCTGAGGAAACCGCCCCTGTCGCCCTCCAAGGGCCGGCCCCGACCCCCCTGCGGTACCTGCGCGCGGCGCCCGGATTTTTTGGGGGGGACGCAAGAGGCGGTTTCCCCAGCCCAGCGGTCGTGGTGGTGGTGGGGGGAGGCAAAGAGCGTGGGAAACCCATCAGCGTGCTGCGGCCGAGGAAGCACCAGGTCTTCGGACAGAGGCGAGGGAGGGACACGCTGACGCGCTCCCATCGGCGGCGTGCCATGGATACTCTCTCTCCCTCTCGAGGAAAGGCCAGGGGTGGGGCTGAAGGAGAATCGCTCTGGACGGCCCCCGGGGGAGGCAACGAGCAGCGCTCAGGCTGGGCTCGATCCCTGGCCCCACCTCGGGTCAGACACCCCCCCTCGACGGTGCTCGGAGCTCGCGTCAGCGCCAGCCCACCGAAGCCCCTCCATGCGACGCAGGGGCGCTATCATGAGGGCCGACACGGGCGGTGTGATCGACATCGGCGGGGCTGGGCGAAGTGAACGCACACTCGACCAACACGCGTCCTGAGGATCATCGACCCCTCTGCCCTCGACCTCCACCTTCCGAACCCTCCGCGCAGCAGGTGCCGCCGCGGCGCGGCCGCGGCGACCGCCGAGACCGCCGCTGCGGCCTCGCCGGCGGCCGCCACTGCGGCCGCGCTGGCGGTGACCGCGGCGCGGGGTGTGGCGTGGGGCAGGGCTGGGGCACCGGATCTCTGACGACGTATTCCTCGTTGTCGTCGTCGTAGTCGTCGTCGGAGGAGGAGGAGGAGGAGGAGCAGGAGGAGGAGGCAGTCGCTCTTGCTCCTCCCAGGGCCGCCGGCCGCGGCCGACGCGCGAGGGTGGGCGGCGAGGGCGGTCTCCTTGGGGGTGTAGGTGCCCTTGGACGAGGGGGTCGCCATCGGGTTGCTGGACACGATGGAGCCCGGGGTGTGTCGGCTGCCTGGCGGGGGCAGCGCCCAGAGGGAAGGTGGAAGGGGGGAGGAGGAGGAGGAGGAGGAGGAGGAGGAGGAGGAGGAGGAGGAGGAGAGGAGGAGCAGGAGGAGGAGGAGGAGGAGGAGCAGGAGGAGGAGGAGGAGCAGGAGGAGGAGGAGGAGAGGAAGGAGGAACGAGGATGAGGATGAGGGAGGGAGGAGGGAGCGGCAGAGGAGAGATCAGAGGAGGGAGGAGGCAGGAGGCGGGAGGAGGAAGAGGAGGAGGAGGAGGAGGAGGAGGAGGAGGAGGGAAGAGAGAGCGGCATCTTCCTCCTCAGGGAGGAGCAAGTGCGACTTCCTCCTCCTTCTCCTCCTCCTTCTCCTCCTCCTCCCCTCCCCCTTTCTTCGGAATGGACATGAACACGTCGTCAGAGATCAGGTGCCCCAGCCATGCCACACTTCTCTGGGCGTCCAACCCAGAAGAGCATCGGGGAAGCGACTTGGAAACCCGTGCCGTGCCCAGACCCGCCCATCGCCGCTCAGTGAGGGGCGCGGTGCTTCGCAGTGCTGCGCGGATGTGTTGCTCTGGCGAGCCGTGGCTCAAGTGGCGCCCAGAGAGAAGGGGGAAGGGGGGAGGAGGGGGAGGAGGAGGAGGAGGAGGAGGAGGAGGAGGAGGAGGAGGAGGAGGAGGAGGAGGAGGACTTCCAGGACATTCCCCCTGACATCCGCCAACGTGAACGTTTCAATCCACGGCCCCAAAGGTCCCGACCGCCGCCCTGCGGGGGCAGGGGGCAATGTTTCGCCCCGGATCCATGTTCGATGGCCCTGGGGCCCGCCAACGGGCCCCAGAGGCAGAAATCGAGGAAAAACGGGCCCATCCGAAAACAAAAAAAAAACATGTCGTCGAGGATCTGGTGGTCATGATGTCCAGGAAGCTCCTGCGGATCGGGCACGAAGGGCGCCCACCACCCACCCACCCACCCCTCCTCCACCGCGGCCGTGCGGAAACGCCAGCCCACGCCTGGCACCAGCGCGAAGTGGCGGAACAGGGCGCTGGGGACGCGCCGGCCCCGCCGGCAGGGAGCGGGGCAACTGGGCATGCTTGAAAAGAGTGAGGAAAGGGAGGAGGAGGAGGAGGTGGAGGGGGAAGAGGAGGAGAAGGGGGGGAAGAAGAGGAGGAGGAGGAGGAGGAGGAGGAGAAGAAAAAGA